GATTTCAGATTTATTCTAGGGGTAGAACACACAAGATTTGCTGATAGATGGGATATAGTGTAAAACAGAATGAAAGAAGTCAGGAACGATTCCAAAGCTTTTGGCCTTAGTCAAAGAGGTAAATAGAAATGCCACTTGCTGAGATGTAAGATACAGGAGGACAGGCATGTTTGAGGGGAGAGAAATCAAGAACTGTTTTGGTTATGCTATGAGACATCCAAATGAAGATGCTGAAAAGGCAGCAGGATTATACATATTTGGAGTTTAGAAAGAAATCACCCTCATCATGTTCCCCTGATTTCCCTTTTTTTTTTTGAGATGGAGTCTCGCTCTGTTGCCCAGGCTGGAGTGCAGTGGTGCGATCTCAGCTCACTGCAAGCTCCGCCTCCTGGGTTCACGCCATTCTCCTGCCTCAGCCTCCCAAGTAGCTGGGACTACAGGCGTCTGCCACCACGCCCGGCTAATTTTTTATATTTTTAGTAGAGACAGGGTTTCACCATGTTAGCCAGGATGGTCTCGATCTCCTGACCTCGTGATCCGCCTGCCTCGGCCTCCCAAAGTGCTGGGATTACAGGCATGCGCCACCACGCCCAGCCCCCCTGATTTCTATTTCCTAGGAGACAGAGTATGTTGTCTCTAAGACATTTACACCTTAAATATTATTTGGCCCTGTGTGACCTGCCTCTGGAAATTCCTGGACGAACTTTGCATCCAAAGGCACAATGTAGTTAAAAAGGGGTAATGACTAGAAACAGCAATAATTACTGCTGCTCAAATCTGGAAATAAAGCACTTTTGAAGCAGGAGGCAGTTAATGGCCTCTTGTAACCTAATGTGTATCAAAGCACCTTAGGAAGCAAAGAGCATTTCTCCTGTTTGGTGGGTGATCAAGGAAGGCCAAAAGCTACCTATCGTCTCAAAACTGTGTTCCTGAAAACCACAGGTGCAAGGAATTTTTACTGTGACAAAGTGGAGTTACTGAGAGTCTAGGAGCACTATGTGCTAATGGTCCAACAGGAGATCGGAGTCAAGGATTCTGACGGGCTAAGTCAAGTGTGGCAACAGCTGCATTAATCCTTTATCCCTTTCAGAAACATGTCCTTAGCTGAGTTGGGTACCCCCTCATCCATGTTGCAATAATAGGCAGCATATGTCTCTTATGCTAGTATCATAATCTGTTCACATGTCTTTGTCCCCCCAATGTGTGTCCTAGGAGCACAGGCACCGTTTCTTATTCATCATTGTATTACTGTCCCTAGCAAAGAGAATGGCCCATGTAGGCACCTAATACGTATATCTGATGAAGCAATGGGGGAATTAATCCCTTCATGCAGCGTCACATCTTTCATTTAAAAACTTTCTCCTCCTCTATTTAAATGTTTAATGAGAGCATTTAATGACAGAAATTGGTTTTCTTGAGATGTCTGGAGGAAATAGGATTCTCCTCTTGACCCAAAGGACTAGAACTGCTTACTGTGGAGGTGTGATTTTAAAGAGACCCAGAGCTGCTAAAGGAGGAAGGGTGCACATTAACATGAAAATTCTTCGTGAAAGGACCCTACAGAAGAAGTCATGAAGAACTCTGCAAGGATGACTCGGTGACACTGTGAACAGCTGATGCACATAATATCAGACACACCAAGATTCCATGAGGCCCATCATGGTTACCTATGTAGCCCAGTATAAGATCTGATTAAGGGATCTGAATCATCTTTTTATGGTCCTTGATTTCTAGGACCTAAACATTAGGAGGAAAGTTAGAAATGATCTCCTTGGTCTTTGGGGGCTGGTATCAAACCAGTCACTCATAGTTAAGAGCACAATGTTCACCGTTATCCCTGAAACCTTCATTTGTATTTCAGAGCACACAAGAGATGTCTGTCCCTGCCTTCTGCACCAGTCAATCCCAAAAGGACTATGCTAGTTTTTATGGATTAGGTTTCATGACAGTCTGGAAACTCTTCCGCCTACAGAGTTAGGTAACTTGGACACTTTGGATATAAGGTAATCAACCACTTGGCTAGACTCAAAGGTTAGCTAACTACATGAGTTCCCTACAGGAATGAGAAGTGAACGAGTGATCACTATAGGGAAAAAATAGCATATGGTGTTAACTTGTTCTATGCCCCCAAAACCAGGGTTGACTTTCATCTAGAAAACAACACAAACATCTGGACAACTTCAAGCCCCTGGCAGGCTGAGAACTTCTTACTGCTTTGGCCCTCTAAAATGAAGACTTCTTGGGAATCAAAACGGGCTAAAGCTGAGCACAATTAAAAAGGAAAGCTCATCCTCTCACTCTGCACAGGGAGCAAGAGCAAGGGGAACTCCCCTAAATGACTGGATCACTGGGATCACCCAAGCAGCCCCATAGACATCGATGTCTACAGCCGGTGGTCATCTCTCTGCTTTCTCTCATCCCAAGCCCCTCTCGGGTAGCATCCAACGGAAGCCCACACGGATGAACGCCTGTCCACTTCCCCGGCCTCAGAAAAGATCCGGGCCGCTCCCGTGCTGACTCCGCCTCGGCCCCGCGGCCCCTCGGCTCACCCCAGGCAGCGAGACAGTCGATTTGAAGAGGCAGCTTTTCTAGGATCGGCACTGGCTCGAAAGCGTCGTGCATGGCGGCAAGGGGAGAGTCGCCACCGCCGTCTCGCCCACAGTGTTCCGGGCCGGGTTGGGGTCCGGAACGAGGCTGGGCTAAGAGTAGACCGGGATCCGGCCAGGATGCCCCCCAGCTACAGGCCCTTCAACAACACAGCCATCGTCAACCCCGGACTTCCTGCTGGTTAGGCCCGCCCCTTCCGCAGCCGAAGTCCCGCCCCTTCCTCCCGGTGCACTGTCAAGGAATTGGCTTGTTGCTGAGTTGCCATTGTCACTCTGGACCCAGAGCCACTCTGTCCCGAGTAGCCATGGGCTTACCATAGAAGGAACAAACTGTTAATCTTAGAACTGTTTTAGGCAATGGGTGTGATGGTTAAAAACTCGGCCTTTGGCGTCAGACCTCAGACGGAGCTCTACCAATTAGGAAATTCGCTGTGATTTAGAAAATTTAGTATTTCGATGCCATACTTTCCTGATCTGCAAAATGATTTGTGTAAATACCTGTGATCCAGTATCGTGAGCGCTTAGCAACACCTGACACACACTAAGCTCTCAATAAATGGTAGCTTTAGTATTACCATTATATCCCAATTAGTACAAGCACCTTACCTTTATGCTTTCATGGTTGTTCTAGACCAGCAAGAACAGCAGTAGCAGCAGCACCTGTGAACTTGTTAGAAATGCAAAGTTTCAGGCCCATCCCAGTTCTACTGAATCTGAAACTCTGGAAGGAACAGTAATCTATGTTTTAATAAACCCCAAGGTGAGTCCCTGCATTTAAAAGCTTGAGAACCACCATCTTAGGCTAGGGTTGTTCAGTGGTACCACTACCCACCTTTAGGACAGGATAATTTCTTGTTGGGGGAGGGGGCATGTTCTGTGCAATGTAAGGTGTTTAACAGTATCCTTAACCTCCACCCACCAGATGCCAGTATCTTCCCTACAGAAGTATAAAAATGTCTCTTTGCTGTATGTCCTCTGGAAGGCAAAATCACCCTGAGAACCATTTGAGGCCAATGCTTTTCAAATTTAATGTGCATACAAATCACCTAGAGACAGTGTTAAAATGCCTCTTTTGATTCAGTAGGACCAGAGTAAGACCCTCAATTGAGCATCAAAAATCTCCCAGATGTTGCTCGTCCCTGGATCACATTTTGAGTAGCAAGAGTTTAGGCAACAGATGATTCACTAACTCTTGAAAGGGAGTGAAATAAGCCTCCTTTTAATTTGATGATCACATTCCTACCAATTCAACTTTCCCAAGTTGTGTCTTACATCCTAATATTCCTTTTAGGAAGGTGTCATGGCTCTTCCTCCTACAGGACCCGGGACCTGTACTGTCTGAGGTTACCTTAGTATTCCCCTTGAAGACTTAAAAAACAACAAAACTTAGTTTGAGCTGCAAGAATGATCTATATCTGGTAATTTCCCCCTAGGAAAACATCAGATAGGTCAAAAAATTAAGCATTTGGGTTTAAAGCAAAAATGTAAAAGAAAAAGAGTAAGTCTATGATATGAAGCCAAAAAAACTGGTCCTGGTCATTTTATTTTTACACAGTTATCAATTTCTTCATATGTAAACTAGGAATACTTGTCCCATCTTAACAAATGCTGTTCTGATAATCAAGTGAAAGTACACTTTCAAGTAGTCATAAACACAAAAATTGCTAAACAAATCCTGTGTTACAGCTGATTTTCACCATAGAGGCTGATCACCTTCTTAAAAATTTAGAATTACCAGTTGTTGTGCTGGAAGAAGGTCTAGTACCTTTTTGTTCAGGCCCAAAACCCTAAGGTTTATATTGTTTTACAGATTAGTGTAAAGCTATAAATTTCTTCTGAACCTGTCCTAAGAAATGACACACTATATCCACTCCCAGTAATACAGAGAGCTGTAAGCAGAATTATCAGGGCCCAAGCTATAGAATTTGTACTATACACTCCTGCTTAACACAAGGGGTTTTTTTGGTTTTTTTTTCCTAGTCTCAAGTCAACATCAAACCAGCCTAAAAAAATAATTTGACCAACTATCTTGCTGCATTACAACTATTATTCATCTGCTAAGTTTTAATATGCAATAGCAGCATGCAACAATACCACCAGCCTTTGGCTAATGAATTAGCATGAGAATATAGTCAGTTCTTCAGACTGCAGTTCCTCAGAGATACTTCCCAGGAAACTTTTTTTAAAATCACCATAGCAAAGAGTTGTAGAGAAACTACCTAAGGGTTAACACTTTCACTGCAGTATGAGTTAGTGAAGATTGTGGTCATGTGGTCATTGGTTTTAACAGAAAACAAGATAATCTAGAATAAAAGCCATGGAAGGAAATGTTTCATAAGTTTGAGAGAAACAGTCTTCAGAAAAAGTTTGAAAAAAATGAGAAAAATACATTAATTTTGTTAAATTTTTTATATTAAAAAGTGGCATGAACTTTTTATGTAGAACAAAAATCTTGGGAAGGCAAAATTGGATAAAACCATTAAAACAGAAATAGAGTGCTTCAAATGAATCCCATCACCTTGTGATGTCCCTTATAAACAGGCTCTAAACCAATACCAGATACCAGAACAGTCCATCCTAAAGAATGAGCAGCAGTCCAGGGCCTCCACATTACTTCATGCAATAACTGTTTAAATTAAGCCAGCAGGACCTGTTTCCTTTGTATAAGCTACCACTTCTGAAGCATTACAGTTCCTCTAGCATGGTGCTCAATCACAGCACTTGGAGCACCTCTCTGCATAAAGGCAAGCAAAACATTGCCTAGGACCCTGCAATGCCACCCTTGGAGGCTTACAAAACAGTAGTTAAAAGTTTCGGAGTGTGCACCACATTGCCAGCAATGGGATGTGTCACAATAGCAGATGTCAAAAGAGTTAAGCTAATATTTCTCTTTAAAGTACATCTGAAATAGAAAAATCTTTAATATACACCATTTGTAAACAAAATTGCACTTGATTTTGCTTTTTTAAATGATCTGAATCATACTGTAACAGTTTCTTTTTTCTTTCTTTTGATCACTCACAGAATTATGGCTCCTTAACTCAGAAGGGCCCTTTTTTCTCAAAACAACCTCTGCGAGATGTAACCTTGACTTCCCAGGAAAATTAAAGGTAGTTAACAATTTCCCCCATCACCTATGTAACTCCCTAAATAAATAAAAATTACAGGCAGTTGCTCCTGGAGATTACATATTATGGTGTTGATGACAGTCCTTTAGAAGACGTTAAACTTTTTAGTTTGTCAGATTAAAAAAATGAAACATTACAGAAAGTTCAGGAACAACACATTTAAGTTGCATGAACATCCAGTCAGAGTCTGGGAGGAAAGGGGGCATCAGTGTTGTAAATATGAAGCTTGCAGATTTTTCTCATCTTATGAACTTGTTTTCAGTAAGATGTTCTCTTTGTTCTGACACCTCTTGCCAACTCCAGTGCCCAAAGATCAAGGAACAGATCAGGATGTCATTGCTTTCTTTAATCCCATGGAGCCGTACAGAAGACTGACACAGATGCTGATCTCTTCCCTGATAGGAGCCATCTTTAACTGCAAATCTTCCCATTCCTTACTCCATTTTGGACCTTTCAAAGTGTGTGATCATTCGTTCCTAGGGACAAAAAAGGTTTAAGTATATTAGGTTAAACTGATCTATATTCCAAATATCTTCTATATAGACTATCCAAGCAAACATCTTCCACGAGTACTTGTTTATGTTAATTAAATGTTTAGAGAAATGGTTCCTAAACATTTATGAAGATTTTGAACCTACAGATGTCCAGACCTCACCCAAGAACAACTAAATCAAAAGCTCTAGGCTTCTGGACAGCAAATCAGCACTCAGAAGGAAATGTATAGAGTCACTTAAGATGACTAAACAAATATTTACATAAGAGTAGGCTTTAATAAAAATGTGTACTTCCTCTAATTCAGGAATTTAACTTGAAGACCCAGTGAAGGATGAGGGCAAAGATGTGCACATAGTTAACACTTTGCACTTTAGAATGGTTAGGAGGGTAGATTTCTTATGTGTTTTTTACTATAATTTTAATAAATCATGTAAAAAATAAAATTACATTTAATTTAATATAGTATTTACAGTATCCCATTTCAATTAAAATAATTAATGCACTACCAGTAAATTTCCCTTCTTAGGTAATTTTATACCTTAGAGTTAATTTTCATTTTTCTTCTGCTTCATTTGCTAAGTACCTCTCACTGTTGTATCACAAACTGACAGAACTACAAATCCTTTTTGAATATAATCAATCACATCAGATAATCTATAGATGTTTCCCTTTTTCTTAAAAATATCCTTTCCAATGCTCTCTGTTCTCTACTCCATCCAAGCCTGTTGCCCAGCTGCCAACCTGAGAATTTCTTACATCATACTGGGAATTTTTCTTGTCTGTGTTGGACCCTTTATTTCCTAGATCCCAAGTCTTTTTCTTAGCTTCCTCATTTTTGTGGAGAACATTTTCTACTGTTTTCCTCAGAAACTGCATATAGGATATCAATTAGTTTACTTCTTGTGTGGCTGGAAACATATTTATTTTACCCTCATAAGGATAGTTTAGTTGAGTACAGAATTCTAGGTTGAAAATAATTCAAAGGCTTTGTTCTGGCTTCCAAAGATGTTGTTGAAGAGCCTTATGCCATTTTGATTCCTGGTCCATCATGTATATTGTTTCTCCTGTAATTCATTTAAGTTCTTTTTCAGTTTTCAGTGAAAAAAAGGCCTTGGAGAAAGTGATGTCAGCAAGATGACAGAACAGGAAGTCCTGGACCCTCCTTCCCCCTACAGACACACTGATTCAATAACACATGGAAAAATTCCCTTTGTGAGAAATCCAGAAACCAGCTGAGAGTCTTCTGCACTATCGAAGAGCATGAAACCAGCTGTATCAAAGTCAGCAGAAGAGTCTGAGGCACCCTCTTGCCATAATTCTTCCCTTCCCATGGACCCAGTGCAGTACCACATGATAGGGTGGAAACCCTCAGCTCCCAGCTTCTTTTTGGAGAGGGAAGGAAATGACTGGAATGTACACCCAACATTCTGACTTTTCTGGAACCTGCACAAGAGACTGTTTTCTGTCTTGCCTGAATCCGGGGGCTAACAACAAAGGGCCCAGGTTGGAAGTTGCTGAAATCAAAAGTGGAAGTTTGGACTAGCAAGTATGAGCGCACCACAGCCCCTCCCCCAGCTCAGTGCAGAGTAAGCAGGTAGAATCCCCAACATCCCCAAATCCCAGCTTTTCCCTAGGGAGGAGAGTTGGACTGTGAAAATGTTCCAACTTTGTAAGAGGTTACCCGAGGGAATACTTTCTGTAGGGAATGGTTTGAAGCACAGATGGGACCAGTATACTTTAGGTGCCTGGGGTCAGTATAAATAAAAAAGAGCTGGGCTATGCCACTGGCTCCAGGAGACCCATGATACAGCAGATGAACACAAAAGGGAGCAAGAGATTATAAATTCCTGGGGAGGGAAAAACCCAGCAAATCCCTCTGATTGGGAATATATATGCAGAAGTCCAGAAAAGATATAATACAGAGTAGGTTAGAGAGGTCCTCAGAATCTCCATGCAGGATGACTGGTGAGGGTGTTCTCCTGTACAATGCCAGTCCATGAACACTGGAAAGGTAACTGTTTTTTTCTAATGCACTGAAACCAACACAAGGAATTAAGGAAAATGGAGAATCAGAGAAACATGGCCCAAACAAAGGAAGATAAATCTCTGGAAACCAACCCCGATGAAACAGAGGTATAGGAATAATTTGAAAGAGAATGCAAAATAACTATCATGAAGATTTCAACAAACTCAGGAGAACAATGCATGAACAAAGTAAGAATTTCAACAAAAATATACAAAACATTTTAAAAAGTATGCCAACAAATTGGATGACCTAGAGCAAAATATATAGTTCCTAGAAGTATACAACCTACCAAGACTGAATCATCAAAGAATAGAAAATCGGGGGGGTAGGGGGGGAAGAAAACACACAACCTGGTAAGACCTACAACAAGAAAGAAGATTCCATCAGTAATCAAAAACACCCCAACAAAAAAGCAGCCCAGGACCAGATGGCTTCTTTAGTTGAGTCCTACCAAGTATTTAAAAACAAAGTAACACTAATCCTTCTTAAACTCTTTCAAAAAAATTCAAGAGGAAAAAATGTATTTGGAAGGATCTTCCAAACTTATTCTATGAGGCCAGCATTACCCTAATGCCAAAGCCAAAGACATGACAAGAGGAGAAAACGACAGGCCAATATCCCTGATCAGCACAGACGCAAAAATCTTCAACAAAACACTGGAAAACAGAATTCAACGGCACATTAAAAAAATCATACACTATGACCAAGTGGAACAAAATAGAAAGCCCAGAAATAAAACTACACATATATGGTCAACCAGTCTTCGAAAAGACAGACAACACTGCACAGTGGGGAAACTGATAGTTTCCTCAACAAATGGTGCCGGAAAAACTAGATATTCACATGAGAAAGAATAAAAGTAACTCATCTTCACGATACACAAAAATCAATTCAAAATAGATTAAAGACTTAGCCAAGTCAAAATAGATGAAAGAATTAGACATAAGATCTGTAAACCACAAAACTCCTAGAAGACAACCTAAGTTTCTTGAAATTGGTCTTGGCAGTGATTTCTTGGCTATGACACCAAAAGCACAAAACAACAAGAGCAAAACAGACCAATGGGACTACATCAAACTAAAAAGCTTCTGCAGAGCAAGGGAAGTACACAACAGAACGAAAGGCAACCTACAGAATTGGAGAAAATATTTGCATACCACATACAGTCATGTATCACTTAATGACAGGGATACATTCTAAGAACTGTGTCATTAGGCAATTTCATAGTTGTGTGAACTTCACAGAATATACTTACACAAATCTAGATGTTATATAGCCTACTACATACCTCGGCTATATGGTATAAACCTATTGCTCTAGGCTAAAAACCTATACAGCATGTTACTGTACTGAATACCAAAGGCAACTGGAATACAATGGTAAGTATTTGGGTACCTAAAGATATCCAAACATTGAAAAGGTACAGTAAAAATACACTATTATTTTATGGGACCACTGTCATATATGTGGTCTGTTGCTGACTGAAATGTGGCATAGGACTGTTTCTGATAAGGATTAATATCCAAAATATATAAGAAACCCCTACAATTCAACAGCAAAAAAAATCAACTAACCTGATTAAAAACTGGGACAGGGACTGGAAGAGACATTTCTCAAAAGAGGGCTTCCAAATGGCTGACAGGTATATTAAAAAATGCTCATCATAACTAATCATCAGAGAAATACAAACCAAAACCACAAGGTGTCACCTCACACCTGTTAGGATGGCCATTATCAAAAAACAAAAAATAACAAATATTGGCGAAGAAAGAAATTGGAACCCCTGTGCCTCGCTGGTGGAAATGTAAAATGGTGCAATCACTATGGAAAACAGTATGAAAGCTACTCAAAAAATTTAAAAAAAACAACTACCATATAATCCAGTAATCCCACTTCTGCATATATACCTAAAAGAAATGAAGCAGGATCTCAAAGAGAAATGTGCACTCCCATGTTAACTGCAACATTATTCACAATAGCCAAGGTATAGAAATAACCTAAGTGTCCACTGACAGATAAATGGATGACGATAACATGTTACATATATACAATGGAACACCTGTCACCCTTAAAAAGGAAGGAAATTCTGACACGTGCTACAACTTAGATAAATCTTGAAGACATTATGCTAAGTGAAATAAGCAAGCCACAGGAGGACAAATACTGCATGATTCCACTTCTATGAGTTATCTAAAATAGAACTCAAAGGCAGAAAGAAGAACGGTAGATGCCAGGGGCTGAGGGAGGGAGAAAGGAAGAGTTGCTATTCAACAGGCATAAAATTTCAGTTAAACGAGATGAAAATGTTCTAGAGATCTGCTGTACAACATTGTGCTCATACCTAACAATACTGTAATGTACACTAAAGGAATTGTTAAGAGGGTAGATATCATTATGTTTTCTTGCCACAAAAAAGCCTTATGTATACTTGCAAACTCTTGCACAGTGTTTTCACAGAGGAAAATATGAACAGATGGCTGAACTCAGTGCCACCAAATTACTATAGCAAACTTGCATTACCATGAAGGGCACAATCAGGTTTCACTTAATCAGCCTTCTCTGCTTATAGCAGCTCATGGAGAGCTGAAGTCAAAGGGAAGCCCTAAAGGCAAATAATTAGCAGAGGAAGACCTCAAGAGGGAGATGTGGGAACAGCAGAATATACCGCAGAAAGCAAAGTGTTTGGCAGATAGGTTCAAATCTGAATGGTAGAGTTCTCAATTATTTCAATGCATAGGACAGCTAAGGAATTTGATACTGTACATGCTGTGTCAAATATCATGTCAGTGAGAAATGAACAAATCATTTTTAGCAGCCAATTCAACACAATGAATCAGAATCAGACAAGATGCTTCCAAAAGGCTTCCTGAAAAAAAAAACAAAAACAAACAAAAATTCTATAATGACCTAATATTCAGAACATGTCCAGAACTAGTTTCCATGAACTCAGGCCACAGTTCTTTTTTTTTTTTTTTTCTTTGAGATGGGGTCTCACTCTTTTGTCCAGGCTGGAGTGGCATGATCTCAGCTCACTGCAACTTCTGCCTCCAGGACTCAAGTGATCCTCCCACTTCACCTCCCAAGTAGCTGAGACTACAGGTGTATGCCACCATCTCTGGCTAATTTTTGTATGTTTTGTAGAGATGAGGTTTCACCATGTTGCCCAGGCTGGTGTCAAGCTCCTGACCTAAAGTGATCCTCCTGCCTCGGCCTCCCAAAGTGCTAGGATTACAGGCATGAGCCACTATACCTGGCCCACAATCCTAACATAAGACTTCATGTGAAGCCTTCTAGATTAACTGTATGGAGGCAAAGTAAAAGATTAAAAACATAAATATTAGAGGTACTAATTATAATCCTTACTATCTGAAGAAGGTAGTGACATAAATATTATGAAATAGTAGGTAAAAATTTAGATTTTGTTTTGGTCTACTATATTCCTTTCTCAATATTTTTCCTTATTATTTTTGCCAATATTAGATTAGGGTTAAATTTGCATTTCTTACAGACAAAAGAACTAGATGGTGGAGAGTACTGTACTTACTATCCAATTTAAACAAAAACATTCTCAAGTCTGACGGTGTAACTTTGAAAAGTGAAACACGCATAGACAGATGCAAAGAAAGGAAAGATTCTTGAATGTTTGAACTCTGTTAGTATTTCTATTCTTATCCTTTTCAACTATATAAACTACAGTTTTCAGGCCACTACTGAGTCAAATAAAGAGAATCTCCATGAACAGAGGATTCATGACTTTCTATTTAGTCACCATATACACAATTTATGCATGTGAATTGAGTACCAACCTCATCTGAATCCAGAAGGGCTGGAAGTGCTCTGCAAAGAGAGAGAAACACTGAATTGAACAATGTAAAATAAAGCCATAAATGGTTCATAAAAGACATTGGAATAATGCAATTTAAAGCTTTTTTATAATTATCTAAGATATGCATTTTATTAATGGCCCTTATAGGGAAAATAAACAGCAAATACAATAAGCAACAGTTACAGAAATTGTACAGAAAAAAAAACGTATTTTGCAATGTGACAAGACCAATGTTTCATTAAAATTACAGCCCTGGAAAGGAACTAAAAAATTTCAAAAGGAGTATCCCATTCATTTTAAGATCTACTACATAGCTAAATCTTTCTAAGCAGAAATGTCATCTAAATGAATAAACCCAATTAATTTTGTTTGCAGATTATTCCTATTCTTTTAATTATTTTTCAGTATCTTGTATTTTCATGAGCATAACCTGCTCATTTAAAATAACAACATAGTACTAACTTTGAAACAGGATTCTTGTGATAATCATTCAAAAACTTACACATCTGTCACAGAAGAAGGAACATTCTCTTCTACCCACTTCAAATCATCTTCCTGCTGGGAACATACAAATACCACTCGTTACTAAAATGCACCACATAATACATCTCAAGTAAGGATATAAAGGCCTTAAATCTTGTCTTTCTTAATTCTGTAGCAGTACATTCACAAATGGGACTGCTGACAGAAAAGTCAAATATTTTAATTTTTAAAAACATTTTTAAAAATCCCTTTGACCAACATCTCCCCAGTTCTCCCACAGCCCCGGTAACCACCACTCAACCCTGTGCTTCTAGGAATTCAACTTTTTTAGATTCGACGTAAGTGAGATCATGTGGTATTTGCCTTTCTGTGCCTGGCTTATTTTATTTCACGTAATATCTTCCAGCCTTCTTCACACTGTTGCGAATGACAAGATTTCCTTCTCTTCTGAGTCTAAATAGTATTCCACTGTATATTGAAATACACCACCTTTTCCTTATCCATTCATCTATTGATGGACATGCAGGTTGATTCTGTATCTTGGCTACTGTGATTAATGCTGCAATGAACATGACAGTACAAGTATCTCTTTGACATACTGATTTCATTTCATTTCAGTATATACCCAGTGATATGAATGCTGGATCATAAGGTAGTTCTATTTTTAATTTTGAGGAACCTCCATACTGTTTTCCATAATGGCTATACTAACTCACATTCCTATCAACAGTGTGCAAGGGTTCCCTTTTTTCCATGTCCTTGCCAACACTTGTTATTTCTTCATTTTGATAAATGCCATTCAAACAGTTGTGAGGTGTTATCTCATTGTAGTTTTCATTTGCATTTCCCTCAGGATTAGAAATGACGAAAATTTTTTCATATACTTGTTGGCCATTTGTAGGTCTTATGTTAAGAAATGTATATTCAGGTTCACTGCCCATTTTTAAACTGGGCTATTCGTTTTCTTGCTACTGAGTTCCTTATATAAATTGGATATTAACCCCTTAACAGATGCAATGTTTGCAAATGTTTTCTCCCATTCTGTAGGTTGCCTTTTCACTTTGTTAACTGTTTCCTTTGCTGTGCAGAAGCTTTATAGTTTGATGTACTCTCACTTCTCTATTTTTGCTTTGTTCCCTGTGCTTTTGGGGTCATATAGAAAAAAAATCACTGCCAAGACCAATGTCATGAACTTGCCTCCTGTTTTCTTCTAGTAGTTCTACTGAGGATTGGAAGATGGGGCAAAGAACAAAGACGAGTGGAAAAGTCATACTTACTGCTTTGTTAACTTTACTATTTCCATTGGGTTCTTGTTTGGTACTTCTCATTTTCATTCCCTCTGTAGAAGAAAATAAACGTACACTGGTTAACTTTGTGAACAGACTGACAATGATGGCAAAATGGATTCAGAACTTTTTTATTTCTTTTTTTAAATTAAAAGCCCCAAGGTTAGTTTAAGCTTTCTAATAGTTGTGAAGTATACAACAGATGTTTCTCCATCTTTACATGTATGCTGGGAAGTTCAAAGTAAAATTTTTAGCTCACTTCTAGCAAGTAAAATGGATACTTAATGTGCAATTACTTACTGAATTTACCATGGCTTCATCTTAAGAGTCACACCCTTATTTTCTTTACCCTAACTTCATCCCATACCAAATATAGGAACAACATAGTTACAAAATGATAAACAATGTACTTATAGAAAAAAAATATTTAAAGTACTAATGAGACGTGAATTTTATGACTACCAAAGCTTTCTTTCAGCATAGGTTCCTTTTGTTCATCTTCCTCCTCTTCCTCAGACAATGGTGAAAAGGCAAACCTAACACAAGGAAAAAATTAGAAAACTTCAAAAACTGCTATACCAGTTGCATTTTACAAAACTAATTATTGAAACTGCAATTATAGTAACTCATTAAATCAGTTTAATAATAAAACCTCTTCCCCTTCAGAAAGCTCTTAATTGCCTATAATAGCAAGGGAGAAGCAGGACAGTATCATATTTATGAGTGCAGGCTCTGCTGAATACTACCTGTGACATTAGACTAGTTACTTAATCTCTCTATACCCAGTTTCCTCATCTGTAAATAAGGGGATAATAGAACACTACTAATAGGGGTGTTTTGTAAAAGTCAGTCATTACAAATAAAGTGCTTAGAACAATACCTGTGTCATTTAGTAGGCAGTCAACAAATGTTCATTCATAAGGATATGTATCAAATAGAATTAGGTAAATTCTCATCTAATTTAAAATCGCAGCCTTCAAATTGGGAGTTAAGAGAAGGGAGGCCTATTCCAGGTAATTTAAAATTTCAGCCTACAAGTGGGAAGCTCAGAAGATGAAGGTCTGATCTGGTATATCTCAGATGCCTTTCCTTAACAACTTCCAAGAGATTCAGCAAAGCAGCTCCCAGACACGTAATTCCTAGAATGTTTTAGCTTTTATTTATTTATTTATTATTATTTTTTTTGAGATGGAGTCTTGCTCTGTTGCCCAGGCTGGAGTGCAGTGACATGATCTTGGCTCACTGCAAGCTCCGCCTCCTGGGTTCACGTCATTCTCCTGCCTCAGCTTCCTGAGTAGCTGGGACTACAGGCGCCCGCCACCACACCTGGCTAATTTTTTTGTATTTTTAGTAGAGACGGGGTTTCACCGTGTTAGCCAGGATGGTCTCGATCTCCTGACCTCATGATCTGCCTGCCTCAGTCTCCCAAAGTGCTGGGATTACAGGCATGAGCCACCGCACCCGGCTGAATGCTTTAGCTTTGACCTCACTCTATACTTCCCATTTTATTGTTACCACTTTCATTCTACCTTGCTTTTAAAACTCCCTTTCATGATAAAAATTCTTAATAAACTAGGAATAGAAGGGAACATCTATAACTTGTTAATGGGTAACAAATTCCATGGTAAATATCATAGTTGATGATATTTGAGAAGCATTTAATGTCAGAGTAAGATAAGAGGGCCCATTGGCATTGACTCTATTCAATATTATACAGGAGGGCTTAGCCAAGCTAATAATATAAGAATCAAAATTGAGGCAGCAGATTATTTGGCAAGAAAGCAGCTTGTAATGATTACTTTAGACAAAAATCTATCTGAAAAGAAAATGTGGAAATTATCAGAACTAACAATGTAACAGGAGGGTTGCTGGGTATGACATACATTAAAAAAGCGAACCGGACATGGTGGCTCACGCCTGTAATCCCAGCACTTTGGGAGGCTGAGGAGGATGGATCACTTGAGGTCAGGAGTTTGAGACCAGCCTGGCCTACATGGTGAATCCCCGTCTCCACTAACAGTACAAAAATTAGCTGGGCACGGTGGCAGGTGCCTATAATCCCAGCTACTCAGGAGGCTGAAGCAGGAGAATCCCTCGACCCCGAGGAGCAGAAGTTGCAGTGAGCCAAGACTGCACCACTGCACTCCAGCCTGGGCGACAGAGCAAGACTCCGTCAAGAAAAGAAAGAAAGGAGACAGAGACAGAGAGAGACGGGGCGGCGTGGGGGGGAGGCAACAGCATTCCCACATATTTGGAAAAGCTGTATATATTTTTAAAGGTTGCATTCGTAAGAGCCACAAAAATTTAAATCAGAAGTTACAAAACATAATTGAAGGACTAAAAAATGGAGAGATGCCACAGTCAAGGAATTATCAAAAATATATAATCTCCCTAATTCATTAATTCAATTAAGTTCCAATCAAAATCTTAATAGGTTTTCCTAGAATTAAACAATCTAAATTTTTTTTATTAAAAAACAAAAGCTGAGTGTAGTGACATGTACCATTAGTCTCAGCTACCGAGGAGGCTGAGGTAGGAGGATCCCTTGAGCCCAGAAGTTTGAGTCTAGCCTAGGCAACACAGCAAGACCCCATCTAAAATAAAAACATTTTTTAAATAAAGGGCAAAAATTTAACACCAAAGGCTTTTCAAACATTTTTTTGAGACAGGGTCTCGCTCCATTGCCCAGGCTGGAGTGCAGTGGTATGACCATGGCTCATTGCAGCCTCAACATCCTAGGTTCCAGTAATCCTCCCAACTCAGCCTCCCTAGTAGCTGGGATTACAGGCACGCACTACCATGCCCAGCTAACCTAAAACAATTTTTTTTTTGGTAGAAATGGGATCTTGCTATATTGCCAGGGCTGGTCTCAAACTCCTGGGTTCAAGCAATCCTCCCAGCCAGGCCTCCCAAAGTGCTGGAATGACAGGTGTGAGCCATCACACCTGGCTAAAGGCTTTTTTTTTTTTTTTTTGAGAAGGAGTTTCACTCTTGTTGCCCAGGCTAGAGTGCAATGGTGTGATCTCAGTTCACTGCAACCTCCCCTTCCCGGGTTCAAGCAACTCTCCCGCCTCAGTCTCCCAAATAGGTGGGATTACAGGCATGCGCCATCACACCCAACTAATTTGGTATTTTTAGTAGAGACGGGGTTTCTCTAGTTGGTCAGACTGGTCTCGAACTCCCGACCTCAGGTGATCCTCCCACTTCGGCCTCCCAAAGTGCTGGGATTATAGGCGTGAGCCACTGCGCCCAGCCCAAAAGCTATTTTTAAAAGAGCCAGATAGTATGCAGCTAAGCCTACACTTATAAATATGATTAGAGGTTCAGGCCCTCCAGATACCACGATTTATCAGAAGCCTAGGGTAATTCAGACAGTGTGCTACTGATGCAGGACCAGAACACAAGAGAGTAGAGAGCCTAGAATCAAGTAATTCTTGGTGCATGAACATCTTGATTGTGATTTTTTTTTTTTTTTTTTTGAGACGAAGTTTCGCTCGTGTTGCCCAGGCTAGAGTGCAATGGCACAATTTCAGCTCACTGCAACCTCTGCCTCCTGGGTTCAAGCGACTCTGCTGTCTCAGTCTCCCAAGTAGCTGGGATGACAGGTGCCCACCACCACGTCCAGCTAATTTTTGTCATTTTTAGTAGAGATGAGGTTTCATCATGTTGATCAGGCTGGTCTCAAACTCCTGACCTCAGGTTATCCACCCGCCGCCTCAGCCTCCCAAAGTGCTGGGATTACAGGCATGAGCCACCATGCCCGGCCTGATTGTGAAATTTTTAAAAAGTCATTAGAGAATAATTTTTTGACCTCACCTTAGGCTAGATAAGAATTTGCCAAAATAAGATGCAAAATGTACAATCCTTGAAGGGAAAAACTAACTCTATATTTCTGAGACTTTGTATGATTGAAAACAGCATTAAAAAATCAAAAGATAATTAACTGGCAGAAAATATACGCAATACTTAGAACAAACAAAATATTGGCATACAAAATATATTAGAAATTCCTACAAATTGGGCCTGGTATGGTGGCTCACGCCTGTAATCCCAGCGTTTTGGGAGGCCAAGGTGGGTGGATCGCTGGAGCTCAGGAGTTTGAAACAAGCCTGGGTACATGGTAAAACCCCATCTCTACAAAAAATAGAAAGATTAGCCCAGTGTGGTGGTGCACACCTGTGGTCCCAGCTACTCGGGAGGCTGAGGTGGGAGGATCATTTGAGCCCAGGAGGTGGAGGTTGTAGTGAGCCAAGGTTGCTCCACTACACTCCAGCCTTGGCTTCAGAGCGAGACCCCATCTCAAAATAAATAAATTCCTACGAATCAATACATAAGTAATTGTTACAGTCTGAGTGTCTGTCCCCTCCAAAACTCATGTTGAAACCTAATTCCCAGTGTGACAGTGTTGGGAGTTGGACCTAATGGAAAGCATTTAGGTCATGAGGGCTCCACTCTCATGAATGAATTAATGCTGTCATATAAAGGGTTTTCTGGAGTGGGCTCTCCCTTTTGCCCTTCCACCTTCTGTCATGTGACGACCCAGTAAAAAGGCCCTCACCAGATGCTGACACTGCTAGCCAACAAATTTCTGTTCATTATAAACAGTCTGTGGTATTTTGTTATAGCAGCAGAAAATGGACAGAGACAATGATCAATAAGTCAATAAAAAATAAGCTAAAGATCCAACCTTAAATGCAAAAAGTAACAATATTAATTCTCATCCACCAAATCTGCAAAAATTAAATAAAATGATAGGACATAAAAAGAGGGAAGAAAAAAACCCTTTCATACCATTGTTATTAAATATGAAATTTCCTTCAGGTTTCTTTCGGGAACATAATCTGAAAACTTTAAAAATTACAAATACACATATCCTTCAATCTAGCAAATCCAAGCCCACTCATTAAGTATTTCTTGAGTATGTGCCAGTGTGTAGTGAGAAATTAACCTTCATTGACTAATGTGAGGTTATCTCTACACCCATAAAATGTCCTGTCTTTATTTGCCTGGGGACTTTGGCCGACAGTCTAACAGTATGGTTTATGATAGGGGCTTTGGGCCATGCCATATCAGTTTTGACCTCCAGAAGAAATGGTATCAGCCTGACTGCCTGGAGGGGTTGGAAACTAAAAGTCAGCAACAGAGACAGTATGTGATTGAGCCCCAGTAAAAACTCTGGACATTGAAAGCTCAAATCAGTTTCCCTCGTTGGCAGTAGTCTGTGCATACTGTCACATATTTGGCTGGGAGGAGGTAATACATTCCAATAAAAATCTTGAGTGCTGAACATCAATGGGCTTTCCTGGACAGAAACAATGTGTTACTACATTTTTGTTGCTGGGGAAAAGAACTGACTTGATGTACTTCCTCAGAAGAGAGACAGAACACAAGGAAAGAAAATACAGATTTCCCTAGACAGACCTGCTATCACCATTTTGTCGTAATACACCTTAACTGTAAGCATAACTGTATGCTGCGTCCCATGAGGCCTTCCAGTAAATTGCTGAACATTAGGATGGTCTTGAGGACCCTGACACACCTCAAACTGGAAATATCCCAAATGCCCATTAATAAGAGAATATGTTAATGTAACTGTACTACACATATCCCATATTTATGCTATCCATGAAAATGAATGAGTTCAATTAAACCTGTTACACTGGAAGGAATCTCCACAATGTACTGTTACAAAAGTAATGGAAGATTCCATAAGTGAACAGGGAAAAGACACATTATAACATACAGTTAACACTGAAGTCACAGAGAAAGGGGGCAATGTTTTAAAAGAAAAGGGGAGAAAAAATAAAAGGTAATGCAAAAATTTTTTAATGACTGAGGAAGGGAAAATATTTAAATACAAATACAGCTAGTGAGTAACCAGTAGATCAACAGACGGATATAAAAGAAGCGTCTCCAGAATGTAAAAGTTCTTTCTCAATAGTGTGATTTCAGATCTTCTTTATTTTCTTTCATGACTTTTCTCTATTCTTTGACTTTTTTTGATAAACACATATAAAGTGCATAGTTTGAAATGACAGCAAGGCCATTTTCATCGGGTAAAAGGATTTCACCTATTTTCTATCTCAATCTTTCACTGGTAAGTCTGGTTATAAAATTAGTCGTTTATACCATGTTACCCTTTCCTTCTTTGGTGGTATGGGTGTTTAATATAAGCTCTTAACCGTCTAAATGCAAATGAGGGGAGAAAAGAGAGAAAAAAGGCATATTCACAAAATAAAGATAGGCAGTTCCTAAATGTCTGAAATTTGCCTATAGTTGGACAAATCAAATTTACACATAGATTTTTAATTTCAAAGCTGGTTATGTAAGTTTTAATTTTACCCTTTCTATCATTACAAAGTGAGCTGGGTTGCTGGTTACAGAAGTTTTCTTTCCTTCTAGACACTAGACAGGAGAGACTCAGTATAAGTGACACAATTATATCTTTTTTTTTCTTTGAGACAGAGTCTCACTCTGTCACCCAGGCTGGAGTGCAGTGGTGCCATCTCGCCTCACTGCAACCTCCGCTTCCGGGTTCAAGCGATTCTTGTGCCTCGGCCTCCGGAGTAGCTGGGATTAGAGGTATGCACTGCCATGCTCGGTTAATTTTTGTAGTTTTACTAGACGTGAGGTTTTGCCATGTTGGTCAAGCTGGTCTCAAACTCCTGGATTCATGTGATTTGACACCTTGGCCTCCCAAAGTGCTGGGATTACAGGCATGAGCCACCGTGCCCAGTTGACACAACAGATGATATATCTATCTCCCTTGTTTACTATACAAATACTTACAGACATACTCGGTTTTATGGTGTTTCATTTTATTGTGCTTCCCAGATTCTGTGGCAATCCTGCATCAAGGAAGTCCATTGGTGCCATTTTCTAACAGTAATGTGCTCACTTTGTGTGTCAGCATTTTTTTTTTTTTTGGAGATGGAGTCTCGCTCTGTCACTTATGCTGTGCAGTGGCATGATCTCGGCTCACTGCAACCTCTGCCTCCCAGGTTTAAGCGATTCTCCTGCCTCAGGTGCCCAAGTAGCTGGCATTACAGGCATCCACCTCCACACCCAGCTAATGTTTGTATTTTTAGTAGAGACAGGGTTCCACCACAGTTGTCAGGCTGATCTCGAACTCCTGACCTCAGGTGATCCGACTGCCTTGGCCTCCCAAAGTGCTGGAATTACAGGCGTGAGCCAGCACGCCCAGCCCCTGTGTCAGCATTTTCTTTCTTTCTTTTTTTTTTTTTTAACAATAAAGTGTTTTTAAATTAAGGTGTGTACATTTTTTAGACATAATGCTATTGCATACATAGTAGACTACAGAATAGTGTAAACATAACTTTGATATGCCCTGGAAAAAACAAAAAATGCATGTAACTCAGTATCTGCTTTGTGATGGTCTGAAACCAAACTTGCAATTTATCTCCATAGCATGCCTGTGTATTTATCACAAAATGTCAGAGCTGAAAGGAACTTCATGTTGCTGGGTTTAATTCCCCCTCATTATATAGAAAGGGAACTAAGGCCAGAGAGGTGGAGAGGCCACATGCCAAAAATCGTGAAGTTAAGAGGAGAGCTGAGATAGGAACCCAGTTCTTCTGATTCCAGGCCCAGTGTTCCTTCCACTATATGACACAGCCCTGATACTGTCTCCCAATGCACCACCCCTAGTTGATGACATGGTCATCTCATGTTAGCAGAGTAAACAGAAGAGTCCAAGAACCTCTGGTTGTTTGCAGACGGTCGCCACAGAACCATGATGACAAAGAGGATCATGGAGAACAGCAAGCGCCAGATGGCATCGTCTACCCACAGCTCCCGCCAGTCCTACAATACGGGGGAGAAGTACAACATTTATAAACCTTATCTTAACCCCTTGTTCATAAAGCCTTTGGCACAGAACAAAAATCACGTATTTGTTCATTCAAGTTATGTTTACTAAGAGCCTGCTATGTGCTTAATACTGTGGTAAGGGTGGGGAAACAAAGTGAATGAATGTAGTTTTTGCCCTTGTAGTGCCTACTGTTGTTAAAGAAAATGCATCAACAGAACAGAGTATTTGTCAAAGCTTCATCATCCCTCTGAGAAGCTTTAAGAAAAGGTTTTATACAGGGTAAGAGAAAGTTACCTTATACAGGGTAAGGGAAAGTTACATTAGGTTGGTATAGTTTATAATTTTCATTTTCATTTATTTATTTATTTTTAACAAAATAGAGCCTTAGCTGCTTCTAAAGAAATCCTATTGGCCACAGTCTTTGAGCTCAGATCTTAAGGACGTGGCTTCTATTCAGGTTAGTATTATTTACACATATGGTACTTAATATTTAGTACTCTGGACTTCTTAAGATTTTTAGTTAAAGTAAGACTGGGTTGTAGCATACTGTAGTTATAACTTAAAAAATTCTCTCCCAAAACTGGGAGAATACAGTCAGATAAACAAAAAACTATCTACTATACCAAGCACCATGATAGTACAGAATACTTAGGAGGAGGGAAGTATTACAACCCTCAGAGTAGAGACCTAGTTTTTTATAAGGTATGTAACTCAGAAGAACCTTACTACTGTCATCAACATCATCAGCTGTTTATAAGACAATACATTATTCATAAATGTGCTTATAACTCACCGACTGACATGTCACTATTCTGAACTTCATGGTTGTCCAGATGATAAACACAATAGACGCTAACGGTAAATGAAAAACCAGGTCAGAGTATGAATGCTGGTTTACATCCCCAGTTACATTCCCCCATTTCTGGTTAAGTGGAATCCCACACACCCCAAACTACCAAATACATCACAATTCTATGAGTTATTTTAACAAGTGTATTCAATACAAATGTACTGTATACCTGCTATCAGCAAGGCTCATGATACATACTCTGGCCAATCCTTTCTGTATTTAAAGGATAATTTGGTAATAATTTTATTTGCCATCTACTACATCAGTAACCATCGTGGTTGGAAAATAAGGTATTGGAAATATAGCTCCTTCCAGCATTATCAACATCATTTTTTTCTCCTTTTATCCCTAGTATAGTAATGCTAATTTTTCTTTGGCTGGTCAGATGAAAAAAAAAAAAATGGCTGATAAAACGACTGTAACACAAGCAGAAGAGCTAGTTCCAATCATAAATCAGACCTCACTATTCCTGGTACAAGGGTAATGAGGTAGGCAAATTAGCCTAGTTTGGTTACAGTCCACCTAATCTCAATTTCTTACATAGGCTTGCTGACATATGGAAAAGCACTATAATAGCAATGTACCCTAATCTAAAATTCTACAACTACTTAATAAAACTAAACAAACATGTGGTAATGTCTTCTAAAAGGAGCACTCTCTGGCACTTAAGCTAACTAACCTCAAGACAAAGAATGCCTCAAGAAAGAATGCAAATAGAAGAGGGATAAATGAAGAACTGAAATATGAGGTTGATTTCCAGCTACTGTACGAAAAAATAAATAGTTCTCAACTTCTTTAAAACCACAGATCCTTCTGAGAATTTGACAAGAGCTAAGAATCCTTTTCCAAGTGAAATATACAAAACTTTCTATGCCTACCCATGGCCTTTCAGGTTAAGAATCTCCATTCTAAACAGATCACATTTGAACTCCAAGAAGAAAGTCCCAGACTTACCTGCCACTGCCAAAATAAGCGTGTTGGTGAAATGCCGATACAAAGAGAGTTTTACAATGTTCCTCCGAAGTTTTAATAGCTTCATTGTTTGAGTCAGGCTAATAAATATGTGTTTGCAGGTCAAGGAATTCAACATTCAGGAAAAAACAGTAAGCTAGCCAAGTAGTTTTCAGGTTTCTTTGAGGATCTGGGGTCATGCTAATAAACTTATAGATCTCTCAGAGGCCTTATAGCTCTCTTATTCTCACTTAATCTCACAAACACCTCAAGATTAATAAGAAAGTCGTCATTTTCTTTTTTTTTCCCTTTTTTTTTTGGTGAGGCAGGGTCTAGCCCAGGCTAGAGTGCAGTGGCACAATCACGGCTCACTGTAGCCTTGCCCACCACTGAGGCTCAAGCAATCCTCCCACCTCAGCCTCCCGAGCAGCTGGGACTACAGGCATGCGCCACCAAGCCCGGCTAATTTTTAATTTTTTTTGTAGAGATAAGGTCTCGCTATGTGGCTCAGGCTGGTCTTAAACTCCTGGCCTCAACTGATCCTCCTGCCTTGGCCTCCCAAAGCGCTGGCATTACAGGCATGAGCCACCATACCTGGCCGAAAGTCATCATTTTCAATGAGACATTAAAGAGGAGACAGACCAGGATAAAGTAAGAACGTACAAAATCACAAGAGAAAAAAATATAAAAAAGAGAAAGACAGGAAGAAGCTTTCTAGAGAAACAAAAAAAGAAAATAAATAGAAAGGGAAATGGCAGAAGATAAAGTGAACATGAGTAATAGGCAAGGGACAGAGAGTTAACATCATCTTCTCTCTCCCTTTAAGGTGGGTAGCTCTGTTCTCATCTGTCCAGCAAATCTAGTCGAGGGTCATCATTACACTCATGCCTATAATATCCCAGAGATCTATACTCAGTCCCCTCATGCCATCTTAAGGAACTTGCCATCAGTTGCCTGCACTATCCTGAATTAAAAGGACCTTACAACTGGTTGAGAAGCTCATATGGTTTGCTTCCAAAAGCAATGACTCTCCATTTTCAGAACATTATTCTCAAGTAGTAAGTTGCCAGAGAAAAACAGGAGGGGAATTGGTGAGTACTAAAAATGGTATCTGCTCTCAGGTTCAATTTTCTTTTATTTTTGAGACAGGGTCTCAGGGTCTCACTCTGTCACTCAGGCTGGAGTGCAGTGGTGTGATCTTGGCTCACTGCAACCTCCGCTTCCAGGGCTCAAGCAATTCTCCTGCTTCAGCCTCCCCAGCAGCTGGGACTACAGGTGCAAGCCCCCATGCTCGACTAATTTTTGTATTTTTTGTAGAGATAGGGCTTTGCTATGTTGCCCAGGCTGGTCTCAAACTCCTGAGCTTAAAGCAATCTGCCCACCTCAGCCTCCCAAAGTCCTGCGATTACAGGCATGAGCCACTGCACCTGGCTCAATTTTCAGAATGAGAAGCAGATACAAAAATAAGAGATTTGACATTTGCTCTGCTCTTACAGAGCCTTAGCTGTTACCTAGTCATTGGGTTATCTTACTGCACAATCCATTCCCACCTCCCTCTTCTCTCAATGCTTGTAGAGGTTCACAAAACACTTGGAAAGATATTAATCTAGAAAAGCTTTGGCTATTTAGACTGAGGACACTTTTGAAAACTCTTATATGGCAACCCACTCAAATTCACAAAACAATTTTGTTTACATTCACAGTTTTTCAACAATCACAATCTATCAGGTCAGTAATAATGAAAACTGCAAATAGGACCAAATATATAATAACCAAAACAAATTCAATATAAGATAAAGTCCAAAAACTTGAATCCTTTAGCCATCAAGCCAAGTCCCTAATAAATAAATTTAATTTTAAAGAGCAGGAGAATAAGATTGCTCAAATAGAAGCTTGTTTGTTATCTGCTGGTTGACTCTGCCTGTAAATGAACCAATTATTTATTCTAAAGGGTGGAAATCTTCAAACAATTCCAAGTCAGCTTTTGAATGAGGCAACAAAACACTCACTCCATGAGGGTTAAAACCTACTGAACCTACACAGAGTTTCAGAAGAGTCAAAGCACGTCACATAGTTCCTGAAATCAAATTTTAAGGATCAAAATCATTTTATAAGTTTCAAAGCATTTAAGAATTGCTAGAGACTAAAAGGCAGAGCAGGACCAGCACAGCCAGTGATTCTAACACTAAATGATTAGGTATACAAATAACAAATGCAAAATCAAGATGAAATGCTCATTTAAAAGAAAAAAGCCAAAAGCTTTTATCTTGAGCTCGGTCCACAGTCACCAATTTCCAATTTGATTTTTAAAATTAAAAAAATAAAAACAAATAAACTGCTTACCTGAACCCTCAAGTTGTTAAGACTTAGCATGCACTATTCCCCACGCTAAGGAGTAATCAACAAAACTGATAAAAACTCTTTGCAGAAAGATCAACGGAAACCCATCTCCAAGGGGAGAAAATGGACCGTCATCAAACAAGCCAATGAGAAGGATATCCACCAGCACAAGGCAGTGTCTAGGAAAGCCAAGGGGATAAAGGCCAAGGAAGCAAGATCAGTCTGGGCCTGCAGACAAAGAAAAAGAAGTGGTGAAAAACAGATGTCTAGAGAGGCACAGAGAAGAACCACCACATGATTCTGCATTTACATAATCACCGGAATGTTTTTGCATAAAGAAAATAAAAAGAACACTTGACACCTAATCATTCTTCCCTTCTTATAAACCATCACGTAGAATATACGGCTATTAGCATTTCACATAAATTGTCAGTTACAATCTTGAAACATACTGCTAACTACAAGTTTTTCATATATAAAGATCCATGTTAACAAGTGACCATACTCCAAAAAAGTCCTAATGTTTGTAAGTCCCATCCTTAACCTATCATTTCCTATCATTGTGATTTTGGCTACAAGTCTGAAAAGACTTTTCTCATATTTACAAAATATTGCTGCATCATATACAAAGAATTATTAATTTCCAAAACTGTAATACAAGATTTTACAAATAAGAGCTCACCCCAAAATAAAATGTAAGGCAATTATCTGTCTGAAAAACTACGCTGCATGTTTCCAGGAGTTTATATAGAGTATGTTTTTTATATAACCCTAATTACCCGATCAACAGGCATTATTGAAAGGATATCCATAAAATAACACAGGCATCAATTGCTGAGAGGGCCAGGTTTACTATCAGAGTCAAGGGATAAGAAAAATACTATAGCAACAGCAGAAGAAAGAAAATGAAATTAACAGAGGGTTAAAGTTGCTAAAAGTCTAAGAAAATTACACACAGAGGACAGTGTGATTTGAAAAGTAAATTTGCATCCACAAAGTGTTTTATTTACGAGGCAATTTATTGCAAAACATATGGAGCCCACTTTTCTTGTGGGCAAAGCCAAGTTTATAGTATTTGCAATATTGAATCTAATAGGTTGCTGCGGAGTCTGACCTTTTTTAAAAAATAAGAAAATTGCCGGGTGTGGTGGCTCACGCCTGTAATCCCAGCACTTTGGGAGGCCGAGGTGGGCGGATCACGAGGTCAGGAGATCAAGACCGGTGAACCCCGTCTTACTGAAAATACAAGAAAATTAAGGCCAGGCGTGGTGGCGGGCACTTGTAGTCCAGCTTCAGGAGGGCTGAGGCCAGGAGAATGGAGTGAATCGGGAGGCGGAAGCTTGCAGTGAGCTGAGGATCCGGACTGCACTCCAGCCTGTGTGACAGGAGACTCCGTCTCAAAAAAAAAAAAAAAAGAAAATTAATTAAAATGGCCTAGAGAACTCTACTTCTTCGTATTAATCCAGTGGTAACATAAATTTCTTCTCTTTTTTAAGGAAGAGGTAACATTCTGTTGCTGGAGTGTAATGGCACAATCATGGCTCACTGTAGCCTGAACTCAATCAGTCCTTCCACCTCAGCCTCCTAAGAAGCCAGGACTACAGGCGCCCACCACCGCTCCCAGCCATAAATTTCTTTATCACTTGTATCTCAGTGCTTTGGTTTCCTTCCCTGGCAAAGGGAATAATTTTACAATTCTCAAAAATGGTGTGAAACTTCATTAGCTACATTTTTTTTTTGAGATGGAGACTTGCTCCGTCGCCCAGGCTGGAGTGCAGCAGCATGATCTCGGCTCACTGCAAGCTCCGCCTCCCGGGTTCACGCCACTCTCCTGCCTCAGCCTCCCAAGTAGCTGGGACTACAGGTGCCCACCACCACGCCCGGCTGATTTTTTGTATTTCTTTTTAGTAGAGACAGGGTTTCACCTTGTTAGCCAGGATGGTCTCGATCTCCTGACCTCGTGATCCGCCCGCCTTGGCCTCCCAAAGTGCTGGGATTACAGGCGTGAGCCACACACCAGGCCTCATCAGCTGCATTTTAAGGAAGTTTTTGAAACTCCAATGTTGATTAAGAAACAACAGTTACTTTAGATTAGATTAACTAGTAAATGCATGACTCCAAAGTCTGCCATTTATACAAGAATTTCAGTCTAGATTCCATCGATTAGAAAAAAAAAATGCAAGTCCACTGCTTGGGAGGAGGAACTAAAACAATTACCAATTTGGAGACAGGTGGAAAAGCATTCATCCCGGGCACACATTAAATTTACAAAGCTCTAATAGATTAAAAAGAAAACATGAACTATACATATATTTTGAGAATCAGAGCCCAAAAGTGACATAAAGCAAACAGAAAGAAGACCACAGACATTTCCGACTCACACTGTCAAGATGTAAACAATATAATTGAACTGACCACAGAAAATGAGATTAAGCAGTACTAACCCCAGTAACTCTGAGGACCCCTTCCATGCCAGAGAACAAAAGATAGAGGGCTCCTGCTACTACAACCTTATGAAGAGTGACTCCAAGGCGTGGCCTAAAGAGGAAGCAAAGAGATATTTGAGTACATATGGGACAAATCCCAAAACAAGCTAAGTAACAGGAACTTGTGTTAACTAATATAGACCAACAATTTAAAGCAATAAACAATATACATTTGAATCACCTAAGAGAAAAAAACTAAGAACTTATGGTCTTAAAACAAGACAGGGAACACTACAACTTAAGATCTGGTGTCTGGTTACCACGTTTTATAAAATGTTTCCTTGGAAAGTTTTGAAGCATATTCACAAGTAGTATAATGCACCCTTATAAACCCTTCACTGAGGTCCAACCACCACCAACCTATGGTTAATTCTGTCCCATGCATACCCCATCCACTTTCCACCCTTTCATATTCTCTTGATGCAAATCCTAGACAGTATATCTTCGATATATTTCAGTATGTTTTTAATAAATGAGGACTTTATTTTTCCTTGGTATTTCAATGGCTATAAAAGGGCCTTTCTTTTTTTTCTCCTAAAGAAACAGAGTCTGACTCTGTCGCCCACGCTGAAGTACAGCAGCACAGTCACAGCTCACTGCAGCCGTGAACTCCTGGGCTCAAGCAACCCTCCCACCTCAGCCTCCTGAGTAGCTGAGGACTACAGGGAAGTCCTACTACACCCGGCTAATTTTTTATTATTTTAAATGTTTTGTAGAGACAAGGTCTCACTGTGTTGTTCAGGCTGGTCTAGAACTCCTAAGATGAAGTGATTCTCCTGCATTGGCCTCCCCAAGGGCTGGGATTACAGGCATGAGCCACTGTGCCCGGCCCACAAAAGAAACTGTTAAAAAACACCACCAAAATACCACTATCAAATCTAAAAATTCTAACAATTCCTTAATGTAATCAAATATCCGATTACAGTTCACTAAATAGTATATTTGCAAGCTTGAAACCTAATATATGAAAAGTCTTCTGAGGAACTTCTGTTTGAAGGAGAAAAAATCTTACATCCTTGAGATTCAAAATCCTACACAACCAGAATCCACATGTTAACAAAATCCTTAGGTGATTCCTTAGTGTAGTGTAGTTTAAGATGCGCTGCCTTAAATCATGTCTGCATAGGCCTTACCAATATTTGTTCTTACATTTTTTGTTATACATTGGGGAAAACTCCGTAGGAGCAGGGAATTTTCTCCCCATTCATCTTGGAAACCTAGAATACTTCCTGGCATATAGGAGGCACTCAAATAATTGTCAAATAAATAAGTTTTAAGAATTAAAATTCCCCATATCTCTAATCCCATTTAAAGCAAAACTCCTTTAAATGAATAAACAAACTTAAAACAACTAACCTCAATCCTACTTAAGCACTATAAAGTGATGCTATAGCTATAGCATCACTTAATCCCACTTAAAGCAAAATTCCTTTAAATAATTGTCTATACAATTATTCTAATTCCTCTCCTCCTATTCTCTCTGGAACTCTCCCCAGTTGGGCTTTTGTACCTATCACTTCACCAAAACTATTCCTGTGATGGTCACTACGACCCTCCATGTAGGTAAACTCAATGGCCAATTCTCACTTGACCTATCAGGATCGCTTGACACAATCACATCCTCCTTGAAACACATTCTTCAGTTTTCTACCCACCTCACTGGTCACTCCTCAATTTCTTCTGCTAACTACTTCATCTTACAGACTTCTAAATAATATTAAATATTCAAGGGCCCAGCCCTTGGACCTCTTCTCTATATATACTCACTTACTTGGTGACCAAATCCAGTCTCATGACCTTATTTATTTATTTATTTATTTATTTATTTTTGGAGACAGAGTCTCGCTCTGTTACCCAGGCTAGAGTGTAGTGGCGTGATCTTGGCTCACTGCAATCTCCACCTCCAGGATTCAAGCGATTCTCTTGCCTCAGCCTCCCAAGTAGCTGGGACTATAGGTGCATGCCACCATATCCGACTAATTTTTTGTATTTTAGTAGACACAGGGTTTCACTGTGTTGTCCAGGCTGGTCTTGAACCCCTGACCTCAGGCAATCTGCCCGCCTTGGCCTCCCAAAGTGTTAGGATTACAGGCATGAGCCACCATGCCTGGCCCTCGTGACTTTAAATAACATCTGTATCTTCATGACTCCCAAACTTTTATCTCTGCCCCAACCTCTCCCCTTTGTTTCCCCTACCTAGTTACCTAACTGAACTCCAATCTTGCCCCTGCTCCACACTTATTTCACCTAAGGTCTTCCTGAACTCAGTAAATCTTCAATTCCATCCTGCCATGTGATCAGATCAAAACAGTTGGCATCATCCTTAATTCCTCTTCTCTTTCACATCACACATCTGATCCATCAGCAAATTCCACTGGTTCCACCTTCAAAAATATATATAGAATCTGATCTCTACTCAGCATCTCTTCCCTTGGGTATACATATAGCTTCCTCACCTCCTTGAAGTCTCTGCTTAAATGTTATTAAGTGAAGCCCTCCTTGATCACCCTATATACAACTGCAAGCTCTAGCTCCGGCATTACCTGCTCCACTGCACTTTTCACTGACATATTAAAATATTTTACTCACTTAAATTTTGTCTTTGTCCCCTCCCTCCACAAATGTAAGCTCAAAATCTTCTGTTTACTTGCTATATCCCCAGGGCCTGGAACAATGCCTCGAAGAATGCCTAGAGAAGACACTCAATACAAATAAAATTTTTTGGATAGAAAAATATTTTCAGTTACAGCAAGAATGAGTTTCTCATAAAAAATCTAATTTGCAAAAAATATTTTGGAAGTATAAAGTCACTGTAAGTTTACTATAAAAGCCTGGTGTTTCAATCTTACTTGTTCTAAGTTTTCCTGCAGATGCTCCTCTTAGGAAGTGAAATGAAACACTAACATTTTCCCAACATTTACAAGGCTACAAAATTTCAGATACCTTTCTTGTTTCAGAATTCTTTTTTTTTTTTTTTTGAGTCGGAGTCTCACTGTGTTGCCCAGGCTGGAGTGCAGTGGCACGATCCTGGCTCACTGCAAGCTCCGCCTTCCAGGTTCACGCCATTCTCCTGCCTCAGCCTCCGGAGTAGCTGGGACTACAGGCGCCTGCCACCACGCCCAGCTAATTTTTTGTATTTTTAGTAGAGACCGGGTTTCATCATGTTAGCCAGGATGATCTCGATCTCCTGACCTCGTGATTCGGCCTCCCAAAGTGCTGGCATTACAGGCGTGAACCACCGCACCCGGCCAGAATTATTTCTTTTATCAACTATTTCAGAACTACTACATCGGGAACATGCAGTACTGTTTTAATTTAATCAGCATTTAAATTTGCTCTTCCATACAGGAAGTTAATACTTACTTGACGATGCCATATCCCAGACTGACTATGATGACCAGGGTTCGAGCCAGTGAGCGTTTCACTGCTGAAAGCAGCTCTGCAAGGATCAAAGCACCCTGGACTATGAAAAAGAAGGGGAGAAATGGCACCATAACCTAAGTTTGGCAACAGGCAAGATGCCAATACTAGACTGCTGATTTCTACACTCTTCAGAGTAAGCATTGATATTAGTCCTGCTAAAATAGAATACCTCTTCTGCAGCTTTTACAGTATACAAGCTGATACCACTCACAATCTTACTCATGTGTATGTATGGCAATCCGAGTATGCTCAACTCAGCTCCCTCCCCCACCTGCCCCCAAATTCACTAAAACTTTAACAGAATATCTCACCCTATATGGAGAGTTTGTAGCATCAAGACAACTTCCCCCATTTTTAAAAACTGTGAAATACAGCTACACATAGAAAAGCATAAAACACACTCGTGTACACACTTGTTGGCATGTATAGTTTAACTCATTTTCAGATCTACTATTTTTAAGACCTTTCAAGGACCAGGGAAAATCTTATCAGTTTATCTCACAATAATGATTATGACTAAATTAAATGGTCTGACAAGAAAAAAACCAAAGCAATCACAAAAAACTACAGTATAAAACAACTTCTGTCATTACCAGTTCACCTTACCAAACCATAAGCACCCTCCTATTTTCTTGAGATGACTATATTTTATCAATTAGATGCACTTTCCCACCACATTTTGAGGTTTTTTAAATCAAGGTGTGTCTTACAATCAATGACATTTTACAATTAAATTGACACCGTTTACTTTCTCAGATGGATAATGGTGCCTTAGAAATCAATGGAAATTGAGATTTGATGATGTTAATAATTACTCCCAAAGTGGCCACTACTGTTGTGACTTTTGTGAGCATATTTCAGTAAAATTACTCTTACATCACTGAACTCGTAAGATTAAAAACAAAAGTCAGAATCATAGTGATTCTGCTTAAGTTATTGCAATAATTAAGTAATTGAAAAGTTAAGCCTGTTTAGTGACTGCTGACCTTAGGAATATTTTCACACATCTCAGCTTCCAACCACTCGAACCGGCAAAGATTTTTTGGTTACTTACCAGATTCTCCTTTGTATCGGATATTCTGAAATTCTGCATAGAAGACAGCTTTCTCAAGCATTCCCAGGAATATGACAGCACCAATCCAAAACTGAATTCTCAGGAGATCTCTCCAGTAGCAGGCAGACCATGCCAGCCACAGAACACCAAACAGGACATATACAATACACATCACCATGAAAAACTGTTATCAAATTGGGTAAAAGATAAAAAGGAGAATTAGAACCAAGAGTCAAGTCTGTATATATACTACATATATATATATTTTTTAAAGAGATGGGGTTTTGCTATGTTGCCCAGGATGGTCTTGAACTTCTGGGCTCAAGCAATCCTCCCATCTCTGCCTCCCAAAGTGTTAGGATTACAGGCATAAGCCACAGTGCCTGTCCTGAATCAATATACAGTCTTAACAAGTTATAAAAATATACATATTCTACCTTCTAGTTAAAAAATAATTATTCCTTTGGAGCTTAACACTAACTAATATGAAAAATTATCTTGTCTTGAGCAGAGAAGACTACATAGGAACTTGTCCTCGAGAGCGAATGCTCTCATAAACGTGTGTGTGTATATATATATATGTATCACACATGCATACCATATAAAAGGTGCTATTATACACATACACACATGTATGGTATATATAGAGAGCACTCAGCCTGCTCTCCTATAGTAAAAGAGCTTTTTCTGGTCAGGCGTGTTAATTCACACCTGTAATAGTGCCTTGGGAAGCTGAAGCAAGAGGATTGCTTGAGGTCATGAGTTCAAGGCCAGTCTGGGCAACATAGCAAGACTCTGTCCCTACAAAAAATAAAAATTAGGCCAGGTATGGTGGCTCACACCTATAATCCCAGCACTTTGGGAGGCAGAGGGGGCAGATCACATAAGGTTAGGAGTTCAATACCAGCCTGGCCAAAACATGGTGAAACCCTGTCTCTACTAAAAATATGAAAATTAGCTGGACATGGTGGCTCACACCTGTAGTCCCAGCTACTCAGGAGGCTGAGGCAGGAGAATCGCTTGAACCGGCGAGGCTGAGGCTTGCAGTGGAGCCGAGATCATGTGCATTCCACTCCGGTCGGGTGAACAGAGTGAGACTACGTTTCAAGATAGAAAAATAGATAAAAATAAAATAAAATTTAGCCAGGCATAGTGGGACATGCCTGTTTCCTAGCTGCTCGAGGGCTAAGGTGGAGGGTAGCTTGAGCCTGGAGTTTAAGGCTGCAGTGATCCATTATCCATTATCATGCCACTGCACTCCAGCCGTGGAGACAGAGTGTGGACTTCTTCTTTTTTTTTTTTAAAAGAAGGAGCTATTTCAGCTCACGATCTAAATTATGTAGATGAAGACAACACTGAAGAAGAAAATGGCATGATTAGGAGTACATCTAGAGGCAAGACCACAACAAAATAAGAAAACGATTAAAGGAAGGAAGAAAAGAAATCATGAACAAAGGAAAGCAAAAATATATTAAGGATATTCTGAGGCCGGGCGCAGTGGCTCATGGCCTGTAATCCCAGCACTTTGGGAGGCCGAGGCAGGCGGATCATGAGTCAGGGGATCGAGACCTCTGGTTAACACGGGGAAACCCGTCTTACTAAAAATACAAAAATTAGCCGGGTGTGGTGGCGGGCCGCCTGTAGTTCCCAGTACTTTGGAGAGGGCTGGAGGGCAGGAGATGGCATGAACCCAGGAGGCAGAGGTTGCAGTGAGCCGAGATCGCGCCATTGCACTACTCCAGCCTAGGCAACAAAGCGAGACTCTGTCTCAAACAAACAAAAAACAAAACAAAAAAAAGAAAAGGATATTCTGAGACACAGACGTATGCACACATACATGTATGTGCACACGTACACACACAAAATGAAGAGAAGGGAGCTTCATCATTTAGCTAATTTTTTGTTGTTGAGACAGTCTCACTCTGTCGCCCAGGCTGGAGTACAGTGGCACGATCTTGGCTCACTGCAACTTCTACCTCCCAGGTTCAAGTGATTCTCCTGTCTCAGCCTCCCAAGTAGCTGAGACTACAGACACCTGCCACCACACCCAGCTAGTTTTTGTATTTTTAGTACAGACGGGGTTTCACCACGTTGGCCGGGCTGGTCTCGAACTCCTCACCTCAAGTGATCTGCCTGCCTCAGCCTCCCAAAGTGTTGGGATTACAGACATGAGCCAGGGTACCCAGCCTCATTTAGTTAATGTAAGTGGGATCAGAAACGACAGAGTTGTAGTAAAAAGTGCCCCACTATGGATCCTAGAGAGAATGTGAGATGACCTTTGAGGTATTTCCACAGGTCACTGACCCCTTCATTATATGGATAAGAAAATGAGGCACACAAGGGTATACTGACTCTTTCAAAGTCCCAGTCTAATAAGAAATAAATCCAGGACTACAAGCAACATTTTCTGAATTGCATAGGAACAATTCATTAAAAAGAATACTGCCACAAAATATGGGACAATCTTCGAACCCGAAACCATTCAATACTGAGGTTAAATAATATAAAGTCACTTACAATCATCAAGGGATAGTCTTCAAGCGTGAGGTATTCATAGGGACCCTTCACTTCAACAGTCACTGCCAAAACACAGTCCTCAGAATTAATTTACAGGACGCAGAAATTAAACAAAAATATTGCCTAACATTTGTTTCATGAAATCAGTAAGAATTTCATTGGGTCATTTACTTTTAGGCACTTCAATCCTGGTCAATATTACATTATATTTGTACAGCACTTGGAAAGTCATTAAGTGTTCTCATAGTTCACGCTGTGTCCTGCACAGGTTTACATGCCTCCACCATAGTCTGAAGTGGGAAGGCTCTTTTGCTTCCATACTCACATCTTTAAAAAGACTAGACTGAATATTTCCTCCATGCAGCCTTCTCTGGCTGCCCATCTGGAACAACTCTACACATACTCTAAATTCTAAACATATTTCACATATACTTTTCCTTACTACACATCAGTAAAATATGCCTTACAGGACTTCCTTTTTACATACTGCCATCTTCTTTGTTTTCTATCTTTCCTCATCTGTATTTTCCTATTGCTTTACTATTTTTTCATGGACTCCAATTTTATGTGATCTTGCTACATTCATGTATCATTTTCAGAATGAAGGCAATGGAAAAAAACTTAAAAATTTAAATTAACTTACACAAAAAAAATACCATCCTTGATACAATAAGATCGGAATCTAGCTTCACAATCATGTACCCTAGATTCTCACTCAAAAGTAAAAATAACTCAAAAGTTCAGATGCTTTGAAGCAAAGCTCCATCCAATAAACATAGAATTGAACTTCCCCAAAACCTGCTAGTTAACATTTTTCAAAGAATTTGTTAATAACAAAGTGTTTAATGAGACAGAAAAAGGAATAGTAATAACATAAATCTGAAAGACGTATTTGCCTTAGTAAAGCAAACTTATTGACTAATTCTAAGATTATCTGTAATTTAAAAAACTATTTCAAGATGGACTATTTTATTACTGTATTGATAAAATAATTTGGATACATTCTAGGTATAATTAATAAATAAAAATCTGACTTATTTGAGCAGTGATCATCCCTAGAGACAGACTAGTAACTGTTCATTCAACAAAAATTCCCTACTAGCTTCTGATATACCATTATTTAAAGTAAACCATATCCAATACTTACATGAAAAAAAGCACTCCATAAGAGCAATTATAAAAATTTCAGAGCAAAACTGATTATTAAATCTATACCTTCCTAATTCAATAAAAGAGTAAACAAAATATTCAGTAAATATTTGCATCATATTCTTTGCTTACTCTGTGCCTTGGTCAGCAAAATACAGCACATGTGCCAAATCTGGCCATCAGCTTTTTCTGTTAGTAAAGTTTTATTGGAATACAGCCACATCCACTCATTTACATATTGTCTACAGTTGCCTCTGCACCACCATTGCAGAGTTGGGTAGTTATAATAGAGAAAATATTTACTATCTGGCTCTTTAAGAAAAAAATCTGCCATCCCCTGCTCTATGCTAAAATATACATTTACTAAGCACTTATTATTTCACAGGCCTATGGAAAACATAGCAGATAAAATGTAAGTAAGATGTTTTCTACCATTAAATGGGTAACCGCCTTGCAGGGGAGAGGGAGTTGAAAAGTTACATAGAGAACTGTCCCTCTCAGCCAGACTAGAAGGATAAGTATATATTTTCCAGAACAAAGTAAAAAGCCTTCTAGGTAGAGGAAATAACATGAACAAAACAGCTGTGAAAATGTGTGGTATATTTAAAGAACAAATATAGTCTGAGACTGCACATAATACTATATAGTAGTAGTATTTTGGCATAAGGCAGCAAAAGGTAAACTGGGGCAAGTTGTAAAGAGTTTTATAAACCTTGCTGCAAAATGTAGACATTCTATAGGCAATGGGGAGCCATTAAAGGTTTCGATGAAGGCAAGAAAAATGATAAAACTGTATTAGCGATAATGTAGCTTCTCCCTTCCAAAAAAAGAAGGGTAAGATATTTTCGAAATGAGAAAACAAGGCCAGGTATGGTGGCTCACGCCTGTAATCCCAGCACATTGTGAGGCCAAGGCGGGCAGATCACTCGAAGTCAGGAGTTCAAGACCAGTCTGGCCAACATGGTGAAACTAAAAATACAATCTACTAAATAAAAATTTAGTATATTTAATAATTTAGCAGATAAATAATAATTTAGTAGGTTGTAAAAATACAATCTACTAAAAATACAAAAATTAGCTAGGTGTGATGGTGCAGGCCTGTAATCCCAGCTACTTGGGAGGCTGAGGCAGCAGAATCACTTGAACCCAGGAGGCAGAGGTTGCATTGAAACGAGATCACACCACTTCACTCCAGCCTGGGTGACAGAGTGAGACCCTATCTCAAAAAAAAAAGAAAAAAGAAAGAAAAAAAAAACAAAACAAAAAAGGATATAAGCTCAAAAACAAGACAGACATTTCCAAGAATCAAAACAGAAACTCAGAACAGTGCATGAGGCTGACTCCATGATCATGCTGGGCTCTTGGACCAAAAGCAGGCTATGGTAGTTGGAAGTGCTGTCCCTATGGGATCTATGGTAGTTGGAAGTAGAGTTCCTATGGGATCACTGAAGCTAGCAGGTTTCAAAGAAAAAGAAGAGGGACTAGAGCCAGGCTGGATGCATGAAGAAGCTGAAGTAGGGTGGAATACAGCTTCACTTCCAACATTTTCAAAGAAAGAAGGTTGAAAATGAACACTAGTAACTGTGCCTTGAGACTATAATCCATTAAGTCATAGGCCTAAAGAGACAGGAGGATACACATGTATGAGTGAGGGGGAGAGGGGCAGGGAGAGAGGAAGAGGAAGGGAGGGAGGAAGAGAAAGAGAGAGACAGAGGGAATATGTGTGTGTGTGTGTGTGTGTGTCAAAACCAAGTAGTGGTATCCCAGAAGTTCAACAATGATTTAATGTTAGAATATCAGTTAATTTAATGTATGACATTACCTTATTAAATGAGAAAGCCCATATGATCATTTAAATCAGTACAATTAAACTATTTGATAAAGCTAAATATTCATTCTTAACTTTTTTTAACAAACTACTCTCATTAAACTAGGAATAGAAAGGAACATCCTTAACCAAATAAAGAATATTTCAAAAGTTCTATAGTAAACATAGTACTTAATGATGAAATATACCAATATAGCCAGTAAAGTCAGGAGCGAAGTAATGGTGGCTGCCATCATTGTTTGTATTCCATATTCTGCTTAAGAAAGCAGAGTAGGAAAGGAAATTGCAAAAATACAAAGATGAAACAAAGGGGAAACCACAGGAAATAAGACCAGTTAGGAAGTTCTTGCAAATTCCAGGTAAGAGATGATGACTCTATGAAACTAGGCAGCAACCCTGGAAAGGAGAACACTTAAATTCTTGAGACACTAAAAACTACCAATGTTAATTTTTTCTTTTTTTTTGAGACGGAGTTTCATTCTTGTTGCCCAAGTTGGAGTGCAATGGTGCGATCTCAGCTCCCGCAACTTCCATCTCCCGGGTTCAAGCAATTCTCCTGCCACAGCCTCCTGAGTAGCTGGGATTACAGGCATGTGCCACCACACCCAGCTAATTTTGTATTTTTAGTAGAGACGGGGTTTCTCCATGTTGGTCAGGCTGGTCTTGAACTCCCGACCTCACGTGATCTGCCTGCCTCGGCCTCCCAAAGTGCTGGGATTACAGGCATGAGCCACCGCACCTGGCCAACATTAATTTAAAATTTCCTGATCTCTAGCTTGGTGACCAAGTTTTGATAATTCTAGTTCAGAATACTGAAAACATGTTACTAACTAAAAATTTTAAAAGCAGGAGTACCAAATGAAGGAAAAAGAAATCTGATATCTGTAATACCTAATAAAAAAGCATATGTAAAGTACATGAATGACATAACCAGATAATAACATAATCATTAAAAAACAAACAAACACTGAACTTACTGGTAAAAAGATTACTCAGTGAATTTTCTTTTGATGATTCCTTTGAGGATGAAATACCAATATGTTCCCTAGATGAGATACAACTATTTACACTAAAAATGTATGTGCATCTGCCCAAGTTTGGCAATGGTCATTCATTGCCTAGAGTATGGATGAAAGGTGTATTCACTATCTGTAATCTTAAGATTAAGAGCACAAACTAATTACAATATCGCAAATCTTGCTCAGAATTGGCCCAGATAATAATGATCAAAGTCCTTCTGGTTTCATTCATCCTAAACAATAGGCACACAAACTCAAACAACGCCTAAGTTAGGCCTGATCTATGAATAATACTGCATAAAGTATGGCTAACTTATGAATACTCTGCATTATAGAAATTCAGCTGGATTATGAATACTAAACAATAAACGTAGGCTAGTTATGGAATATTACATAAAGTAGGCCTGGATTATTGAACTAATACTGCCATACCGAAGTTAGGCTAGATATGAATACTACTATAATGTATGCTAGATTATGAATAGTATACTGCATAAAGTTAGGCTTATATTATGCATACCTCGCATTAAAAGTAGGCTGGATTTTTGAATACTACATTACACAGTACGGTCTAGATTATGATACTGCATAAAAGTAGGCTAGATTTATGCATACTCGCTTAAAATAGTCGGCTGGATATGAACCTACATATAAAGCTAGCGCTACGATTACTAATAATAC